GGGCTAAACTAAACTAAGGAGGGGGGGTCCCCGTTTTTTTAATCTTTGTTGGTTCGGGAGGGGCCCAGATTTTGGCAGTGATTTTGGTGGGGATGTCAACACCCGACGGGGGGGAGTTTCACGGGTTTTTGGGTTCCGATAAGGGAGAAAAGAAAAGGGAACAAGCCCAATTTTTGTGCCAAAGGGGGTCCCCCCCCCCCCCCCGCGCGCCAACGGCGGGCCTCACCTCCATCCCGAAGCTGGGTTGCCTGGTGCACTGCTCGTTCTTACACAGCGGGTGCCTCGTATCGATCATCCCGGTCAGCCTGATTATTTTTGATTATGAAAAAACAAAAACACACACAAAACAAAAAAATAACAGTCGTGTTGGTGATGGTCCATTATCAGCACCGTTCGAGGAGAATACAAAGAAAACATATATATACATATATGTGGGGCGAGTGTCCAGCGGAGGGGTAGCAAACGAAGATTATCAGCGGCAGAGCTCTCGAGGACGCGTGGTCATTGGTCCAACAAACTAAGGCATGAAAGGCCTGCTGCGTACGCCCTCCCCCCAGGCGTAGGTAACGTATTATTGAGCTACTTTCGGTAAGGAACGATTGGTCATCGGTGATCGGTCCAGTGGGAGTGATGCTCCATCCCCTCGAGAGGACGTGTGGTGAACGGTCTAACGACAAAAGTATATGAGTGGTGAATGGTCTAACGACAAAAAGCATACGAGTACCCCCCCCCCCCACCCCCCCCGCCGTGGCCCCGTGGAGAAGGAGGAGATATAGATTGCTCACCGGTGCCTCGCGCAGTACGCCGCCTTCTTGCTACCCTTGTACGCGTAGATCGGACGCCGGTCACATCCATCCTCCTTGCAGCCCCTTCCGGAAGACGGAGCCCAGTAAGTGGCCGCGTTGGCCGCCCTGTGTGGCGCGCGTTTGGGGGGGAGTGGCGAATCGCGGGTATGGTGGGGGTCGGCTTTCCTTGGCGCACCAGATATTGCCAATGGTACATACTAGTTTATCCTGCATCTGAGAGGCACGCTAGATTATCCCTCTTCTGAAAAACACGCTTCAAACAAGACGAGACGAGGGAATAAGGCCGCCACCCTCGCCAACAAATGCCGGGACGGGGGGGATAACACGACCGAGGTGTCGCGAGCACCACGAGCGCACCTTCGCCGCTGCTGCGGCTGCTCCCTGTACCCTGCAGCCGCAGCAGCACCACCGGCGACGGAACCAGCGGCCCCGCTCCCGAGCCCGACGCCTCTACCGCCGCGCGCCGCCGGCACTTGCCCCGGCGCCGTTGTCCCCACCTCAGCTAGCCCCGGGAGGTAGAGGTACGGCGAGCGGTCCGTGTCCGGGAGGCCCGAGAGCAGTGGCCGCGAGGGCGCGCCGTACCGGCCAGGGTCACTCCCGCCGGCGGCGGCGCCCAACGAGAGCGGCGGCTGCGACGACGACGATGACAAGAACGAAGCGCCAGCGCCAGCGCCGGTGGACGAGCGCAGCCGTGCCAGACGCTCCTGCTGCTGCTGGGGGGACTCGTCCCGGCGGTACTGCTGCTGCCCTGCTACCGAGGCGCCGCCGCCGCCGCGTGAGAACTGGTCGTCGTGGTAGAAACCCCGGCGCTCGCCTCCGACCGGCGGCCACTGCCGCCCTCCTCCGGCGAGGCCTACGGCGCCGGCGCCGGCCCCGCCGCCGCCCAGCTGCTGACGGGCCCGAGCGTCTCCGCGACTCGCCGTCGTTACAAAGTCCCAGCCGGCCGACGCCGGCACGGGCGGCGGGCTTAGCCTGGTCAT